TTTTCTGCCTTAATTTTTTCCAAAAATTGAATAGCTTTAGGCTGATTTTTTAAAGCTGCCAATTTAATATATGACTCTGCTTTTACTTTATCAACTGTAACCCCAAGCTTTCCATTCCAATAAATATCTCCCAAATTAAAAAGTGCAGTAGAATTTTCAGAATTTGCTGCCATGATCATATACTTCATTACTTCCTGTACATCCAGATTATTTTTATCTTCAAGAAGAGCAAATGCATATCGAAGTTGAGCATCAGGTACACCATTATCAGCTGCTTCCTTGAAAAGCTTAAGCGCAGCCGCATGATCCTTTTTTACACCTGTTCCATTCAATAAATAATATCCTTGCCAATATTTTGCCATATTATTTCCAAATTTTGCATTACTCTCAAAGCATTTCCAAGCTTTTTCGTAATCCCTTGCTTTGTGTGCTTTAATGCCTTCTTCAAAAGGTATTAAAGGTTGTATCATAGGTATTTCTAAATTGAAACAATCACAATCATCAGGTGCTTCAAATTGTTTATTAGGTTGTTGAGGATCATTGCTAATGCAAACTTTTTCTTGGAAATTGCTTGAAAGCTCTAAATTTGGGACGTCATTAGAATCAACTTTTTTGGGTCGTATATGAGGGGAGACACCTTTATAAAATACGTGCTCCTGAAAAAGGTCTTTAAGGGCATGTTGCATTTCCATGTCCGAAGGACGTGCTGAAGGTTCATCATCCCAAGCTTGAAAAAAAATTTTTTATGTGGATTTTAACGCATAATTAAGTGGAAGATAAACAAATGTAAAGTTGCGGGAATAAATATGTTTACCCCTGATAATGAGTTTATAAAGCTCTTTTGGAATTGGTGATGGACAAAGAGTATTTTCAAGAAATTCTCGTTTTTTATTCAAAACACGTTCTTGTATTTCACCTACATCCATTCCGTCATAAGGAAACCTTTGATGACAAAGCTCCCAAAGCATCATTCCAAAACTATGTTCGAAAATGCAATAAGTTAATAACTTTATATAAAAACGTGTTAATGCTAAAGATTTGTTAGATATTTATTACCTGTACATTTCACATTGATGATTATACCTTTGTGTACCTCCTTTTGGAGATTTTCGCATCTTTTCGGGTGCCAACCATCGAATAATATCGGCTAATATTTTAATTTCCGAAGATACTGCTCCTGTTATAGTGCGAGTGAGTTCGAAATTTGAAATTTTAGGCTCGAATCTATCAGTGACCTATTATTTACAAAAATAGTCAATTGATACTAAGATATCAATTATTATGAAGTTAAAAATTTTACCCGATTAATCAGTCAACTGAAACTATCTGTCACAAATTGACTAAAAAATCAAATTGAAAATTTAATCGATTAGTCGACTAACAGACTAACGATTCTTGTCTTTGAGTTAAATACATACCAAGATATTTTCACAACGAACGTCATGATGATAAAGATTACATTGATGCATGAATACTAGACCGTAAAATATATCACGTGCAAACCGCAATTTTGTAGGCCAATCGATATCATAATTTAAATACATTTCACGTAGATTACTATATGCAGCCCAATCGTAAATCATGACGTCACAATTTTCCACATGCGAAACCCCATAAAAGTTGATAATGAACGGACAGACACCTAATTTGAGAAGTGCAGCTAATTCCATTTGCAATTTTTTATCGAAATTTCTTGACAACCCGTCAACGTTTTTAACAAATTTTTTACACGCAACCTCT